TGGGCTGCCAAGAGAGATCAAATTCAGCAGACAGTAGGTGTGAAATTTAGGAACTGTGATGGATAATGGGGCTTGTGTAAGTCTTCAACTGTAAACTCCATTTTGAGAGGGAATTTTTAGCTGTTTTCATTGAAATCTCCGCTCAGGTTACACTAACCTTCCAGAAGGTGATAATAAAATGTGACCAACTGGGACAGCTATCTTTTCATAGAGTTTTTTTCATCAGCTCTGTGACAGTCTATTCTTAAATCACCTGCTACTCATGAATTGCACGCATGGTGTGACAGGGGCTCCGTTTATAGGAGCAGGGATTGCAGCCAGGTGCCCCTGGATGGGGATCAGGAGCAGGTGCTGTGGCTCCCCAGCTCTGCAGCATCACTGCTGCATCTCGCAGCTGTCTCCTCTGCTCGCCCTTCTGTCAAAGGGGACCAGGAGTTTCAGGTTGGCTTTGTTCAGCAAATTTCTATGTCTTGCTGTTATTTCAGCCTAAGTGCTTAGAGAAACACAACCTAAATGAACTTTCTTTCTCCCAGAAAATTTACCATTTTTAAACACGTCTCTTTCCTTCAAGCCAGAATCCCCTTGAGAAAGGCCTAACACGAATTTCAAACAGCAGGATTTGGCTTCACTGTAGATGCCGACTGCATTCCTGTGAGGGGGGGAAAAAAAATAAATCCTAATGACCAGTTTATAATGAGTGATTGAACAGTGACACTCCACAGGGAGTCAACATTTTTAAGCTCAAGATCATGTAGTAGTGGGATGTGGGCTTTTAAAACAGAAACAGAGGTGTCCAGGCCTGTGATGTTACCGTGAGCCACGCAGTACAATCAGTCCTCAGATGCAGAGGGGAACTGTTGGGGAAGGCAGGAGGAGGCTGTATAGTGATTGCCTGTAAGCCTTACCACAGCCTGACACTTCAGAGAGTGGCAATCTAGAAGATGGCAGTTTCTAAGAAAAAACACATACAGAGGCAGAAAATTGCGACCAGCGATGAAGGAAATGTCCCAGAGACGGGCCTTGTGCAGGCCTTGCCATGGAACTGCACAGACATGTATATGTAAGGTCAAGACTCCAAAGGAAAACATAGAATTGATTTTATTTGTTTTTAATCGTATGTAATGAGGCAGATCATCACCAAAACTGTTCTGCTTTCTTAGCTGCAGCAAGCTTCTTTAACTGATTAATAGCCAGATTCATTTGAAATAACCTATGAGGTAAAATAAGCAAATACATGGAAAGTCCTACCCAGAGACCAGCAGAGCCCTTTGGTTGCACAGCAGCCTGGCTGGCTGCCACAGGGCTTTTGGGGGGTATTGCACCCCCATCTCCTCATCCACTGCCCCTAAGACCAGCGACTACTTGGTGGGAAGAGCTGCGGCACTGCAAAATGCCTGCCTACAGGACCACAGGTGGCTGAGACACCCAGGCGAGCTGTATTCCCCTCCTTCCTGTCCTCTTCACTGAGCTGTACCCCGATGTCACCATGCTGTCCTTCATCACCTGCTGACACCCTGAGCTCCACCCTGAAGCCCCTCCACACTTTACCTGACCCAAGGCACCTGTCTGTCACACCACTTGTGAGACTCAAGCAGAGCTGTGCCTATTTGTGTCCCTTTATTAGTGGTACTCAATGCTGTCATGCAGGTATTTCCACAGCTGTGAGTTATTCAGCATAAACTCCTACTGAAGTAGAGAATAGGCTGCAAATAACCCACCAGGGAACAATTTCTTAAGTGCTAGTCATCCAGCAAATTCCTTTATTCTCGGTTTTTATAGCAGGATTATCCGATGTAGAGGATATGTCCAGGTTATAATGTATTTGATTATTTATAGCAGATATCTTGTGGAGTGAACTCCATTACAAAACGGACAAGGATTATTGGAACTAGACAGATGTGATGTTAATTTCCAAAACTAACCTCATTTTCAGTGTAGCCTGTGCTATTGCTTACACCCTTGAGAATATCACTTTTCTGGTAATTTTTCAACCCCCCAATTGTTTTCCTACTAAGCCTGCTTCAGCCAGCGATTTCTCTGTTTCCCATATCTTTTCTTCATGAATATTCCTGTTTTCTAGTGAAATACTTCCTTCCTTGTACCACCAAATAAATTTCCCCTTATAGGGGGGGAAAAAAAAAAAACAAAAAACACACACACTTTTTTTTTCCCACTCTTCATCCTCCCTTGAGATACATTTTTAATTCTAGATAAACCCCTAAGCCAGGTGTTACCTGGTTTAAATCCCTCATTAAAACACCCTGTACACCACTGAATGGGAAGTCTCCCTTCTACCTTTCCTCCTGTCTGAGCCACTGTCCTGCAGTTTTATCCCACTGAGAGATATAGACACATTTCTGAGTGTGTACCATGGCAGCCTGGGAAATGGTAGTTTATTATTATTATTATTTCTAATGTGCCATGAAGCTGATTTGCAGTTGAAGTTGGGACCACCCAAATTTCTGCACAGACTCTTTCTTCATGCAGTGACCTATGCTCCATCAAAATGCATGTTTTTTTGAGCTCCCACCACGGTTGCTGACTTCATGTCCAGTGCAAGCCCATGCTGGGGATGTTAGAGGCATAGCCCTGCCTGCTTTCCCATGTACTTGTAGACCTTCTGTCCCTTTTTGTAGCAGTTACTCTCTGCCTCCTCACACCCAGTAGCAGCAAGACCCACAGAATCACAGAATTGTCTAGGTTGGAAGAGACCTCAAGATCATCGAGTCCAACCTCTGACCTAACACTAACAAGTCCTCCACTAAACCATATCGTTAAGTTCAACCTCTAAATGTCTTTTAAAGACCTCCAGGGATGTTGACTCCACCACTTCCAGGAGCAATCCTTTCACTGTTTGAAATGCTTCAAACTGACCCAGGATTTCTATCGAGGGAGCCTACTTCTTATACCACAGGGTGGCTGAACAACAGCTTTGCATTCAGCTTCTCTGCCACCTTCCCACTTCCATAAAAACAAACCCATTATCTGGGATTCCTGCCTGCAGATTTCAGAGCAACACACTAACATTAGGCTGGTGTTGGTGCCACCATGTGAAATGCTCAACAAGCCAGACCTCTAGCTGGTCAGTGAAACCTTAACAGACGCTGTGCCTTTGTATCTGCAGCTCAGTCTGCCTCTTTCCTCCGTGTGATGGAGAGACCAGTTCTGGGATGTATATTCATGAAGTTATTCCACAGTGAGTTGATGCATTACAGTGCATTGCCTACAACTATGTTTTTTGTTTATTTTTTATAATTCCATGCATTTATGGCAGCACTTTGGTGTGGTTTCAAAGTGCTGTGCATGGTTTTTATTTGTGTGACTTCCATTGATTTTTTTTTTTTTCTTTACAGAAACTTTGTAGCTAAATCTTCCAAGTGCCACTTAGCAGTGCTAGGATTTCATTCCTATCATCCCTATCCTTTTTTTTTTTTTTTTTTTTTTTTTTGGAGACTATTCAGCCAGCAATATTCAGGGTTTTTCTTAATGCCTTCCATCTCCTCTGCACTGCTGGGAAGGGGCCAGCCATCAGCCAAGCAGCAAGTAAATAGACAGCGTGCATTTAGTGTAGTGACGAGCACATATGTTTTTAGTGAAGAGTTTATTTGCCAGAAGAAAAGTAGTTTGAGAATTCAGGTCAACTTTTGGTGAATCACTTTGAACTAATAAATAGAAGAGGTGAGGACAGAAAGGTTTCAGAAGTGCAGAAAAAATTCCTATCAGCTTTTCTGAAACAGATCAGTTCTGTTTAGTTGAGCTAGGCTACTCCTCTTACCAACAGGAAAAACAGACAAACAAACAAACAAACAAAATCAATACAAACAAACAAACAACAACAACAACAACAACAAAAACAAACAGGGAGGGAAGGAGAAAAGGGGCAAGGGATTATCTCACCCCAAACCCAATATCTAAGTCAGAGGCATGAACAAAATCCATTCCCTTTGGCATCCATCTACCCACTCTGCCCAGGCCTTGCCCCATCTCCTGTGCCAAAGGTCCTTTTTCCATCCATTACAATCTTTTATACTGCTCGGTCCTTCCCACTGCGTACCTAGGTTCCAGCTGGAGAATCCCCACCCTCTGCCATCCCACACCCCTCTTTGTAAAGCTCTGCCTGAAATGCCCCTTTCCCAAACCAACCCAGAGCTGCCCCAGCTCGGGCAGCTCCACAAAACTTCCTGCTTCAGACACCAGCGTCAGAGCATGTACTTGGCACTTCCCTGTTGGCTGCTTGTGGTGGTTTAACACTGACAGGCAACCAACTCTCTCACTCCCCCTCCTAAGAAAGACAGGGGGAGAAAATATGATGAAAACAAGCTCGTGGGTTGAGGTAAGGACAGGGAGACTCACCAGTTATTGTTGCAGACAAACATACTCAACATAAGGGAGAATAATTTATTGCCAACTGCTAATAGATAGAACAGTAAGAATGAAAAACAAACTAAAAACACCTTCCCCACATCCACTCTTATCTACCGCCTCCTCCCAAGCAGCATAGAGAAATGGGGAATGGAGGCTAGGGTCAGTCTCTGATGCTTCACCTCTGCCACTCCTTCACAGTCACTCCCTACCCCTGCTCCACGTGGGGTCTCTCCCACGGGATGCTGTCCTTCCCAAACTGAGCCTGCGTGGGCTGCCCACAGGCAGCAGCTCTTCAAGCACTGCTCCCACACAGCTCTGTACCATGGGGTCCATCCCCCAGGAACAAGCCACTCCAGCACGGGTCCCCCACGGGTGGCAGCTCCCCCCAGACCCCCTGCTCCTGCGTGGGCTCCTCTCCATGGGCTGCAGCTCCTGCCCGGGGTCTGCGCCTGCGGGGGCTGTCCATGGGCCACAGCCTCCTCCAGGCCACATCCACCTGCTCCACCAGGGGCTCCTCCATGGGCTGCAGCATGGAGATCTGCTCCATGTGGGACCCATGGGCTGCAGGGGGACAGCCTGCTCCACCAGGGGCCTCTCCACAGCCCACAGGGGAACTGCTGCTGCATGCCTGGAGCACCTCCTGCCCTCCTGCACTCACTGCGGGGCCATTTCTCACTCCTTGCTCTCCCAGCTGCTGTTGCCCAGCAGTATTTTTCCCTTTCTTCAGTCTACTGTCTCCGAGGTGCAAACAGCATTGCTTATTGGCTCAGCTCTGGCCAGCAGTGGGTCCCTTTGGAGCCAGCTGAAACTGGCCTTTATCTAACATGGGGCAGCTTCTGGTTTCTTCTCATAGAGGCTATCCCTGTGCCCCCCACCCACACACACACCTCCCCCCTCCCAGCCACATAAAAGCCAATACACTGCTGAAGCCCACCAGCCCATCTTTACTTCCTAAAAATACCTCTGACTCTGCTCCAGCAGAGAAAGACCCCAGACAGCATCTACGCTCACCAGTAGTACAGAGTGCCATCCAGACAGGTCTCCAAGGGCAAGAAAGGAGAATTAGGGTGGGGGAAAGCAGTTCAGAAACGCTGATTCAAGTTTAATTCACAAGAGGCTAGAGGTAATTTATATTTTGGCAAAAACGTTGTCCTTAACACTTAAGGTGTTAAAAAGCTGGATTCAGTTCTCAGTCTCCATGTTACACAAGGGTTACACAGGAGGGAGAGTGATCTCATCTTCTCTTGTTGAAAGGCAAAACCAAACCCAACAGTGCCTGGACCAGGAGAGTGTTGCTGCACCCAGAGGATGCTGACGCCCTCCACAGATACTCAGTGCTTGTCTTTTCTCCAAACCAGTCAGGGGGAGAACTCAAGGTCAGGTTTGAAGCCACCCAGAAAATGCTATCCCTTTGGCTGTTCAAGTGTCATCAGGACCATGATCCCTTCATCTACTCCCTGTCAATCCTAAATCTGGCTGTTGTTAAAGTACATAAAGAAGCAAGTCCCAGTGAACTGAGTATGTTTCTTTCAAGGATTTCCCGAAACTTTGCTTGAAAGGTGATTTAAATCATATTACAAAATTTAACTTATTTTTCATTTTTAAAATCAGAAAACTCTGTTACTGAGAATGCTCCAGTCTTATGTCTGTACCATGGAAGGACAGGGTCATTTTGGTGGCAGGAGGTTTGTCCCTGTCATGGAGAGAGGAGAGAGCTCAAGGTACCCTATGATAATGTGGAAACTTCTCTCTGGTGTAGGCAAAATTCCCACAATTTTGGTGAAATGAAAAGCTGAGAGGCTCAGAGCTGTTAATACAGTGGTAAGCTGTTACTACAATGCTCAGCCGTGGTTCTGGCTTTTCACATTGAGTTCGGCCCCTGGCAGCAGCCACCAGTGCAGATATTTCGACATCCCAGTCCTTCTTCACAGACACTAAAAACAGAGCTCCTGCTGCAGCTTTGAAGAGACTTATTGATGAGCATTTTGAATAGCATTGTATATTTAAAGACAATCATCATGAATATTAATGTGATGGACCACAGCCTGACATTACAGTGCCAGTTAGGATACCTGTGCCTACAGAGGTATGGTCTGTGTCAGAGTAGTCCCTGTCACCTGCACTGCCTCCCATCCAACTCTGCAGGTCCCTGCTCAGCTACAAAGCTACAATCCTCCCCACACCTGCTGGGGGTCCCTGACTTTTGCATACCCCATTGTTTAAATCTCATCTTCAACTCACCAAATTAACACACCTGTAGTCTAACTGCTGGTCATTTAGCAAACGACCTCATTTAGAAACTAACCCCCTCAGTCCAATTATCCCTATTCTTCAGCCACATGTCCTTATGTAGCAGCATTGCTCATTTATATGCTAATTTTGCTAAGTCTACTTCAAAGGGGAGAATTGTTTGTTAAAAATCTTACACTCCAGCCTCAGTTCAGACCATCTCATTATTTACCTGCAAATTTAGGGAGATATGGGTAAAAGCTCTGTTCTTTTATGATCTATTGTCAAGGTGATCAAAGGAAACCATTCAATATGAAGATCAAAAAGAGTCTGGCTCCCAGCAGCCCAGCAGCTGGCTCTGCCAACTCCCAAAGTCCACAACCTCTGTTACAAGTGAAGACTGATTTTACTATTAAATAACTTTTGATTACAAATTGGAGGGAAAAAATACCCTTCACAATCATAGTCTCTTTAGTAAGGTGTTAATGAAACTGGGCTTCATATCGATATTATCTCAATTATTAGTCAAGGAATAATCACTATGTATACGGTGTCTCTATTAATAATCCTCAGATAATGAAAAATATCCCACAGACATAACTAATACTGCCTGATAAATTGCTGGTGGCCCACAGCTAACCCAGATTTTCTTTTTTTAATATAGATATACTGCTCAAAGGATTTTTAAAACAGGAACTCACACACAAAACTGTTTACTATTTAGAGAAGCCGAAAGCATTGACTGTAGGTTGAAGTATCAAACTGGGACACCTCATGTCCCACTCTGTTAGGGAATTATGTCAGCAGTGTAACACGATGTGAATAATGAACCCATGTTTTTCAGGGCTGACATAATTCCTCAGCCTAAGGAATTTCAAGAATCACAATTTGTAGAAATCCAGTTCTTATAGAAAAGATAACCCACAGAAAATTTTAGCTTTGCCAAAAATAAATGTTAAACAGTATACAGTTTTCCTTAGAAAAACAATGTGAGAAGCAAAGCAGTATATACTTTCAGGCTTTTATCTTCCCTTTAAAGTCAGCACTCTGATATTCAATATACATCTCTTTTCCACACTACAAATGGCAAGAAGCAAGAAGCTAAGAACTGAAGTATATCAGTATATCTGGGCGCTCCATAGGGGCCATAAGGATATACTTTGAGTTCTGAGATAATGAAATGTGCTTTTTTTTTTTTTTTTTTTTTTTTTTAACAAAATCATTGATGCATTTCTGAAAATACACCGAGTTCTTCTAAAAATATTGAGCTGTGTCGAGAGAACTAGCCTCCAGTGCTGCTAGGGAAGGTATTTTTCATGTTGTGCTATAGCTGTTTTGTGTGATTAGGTATGTTGTACCCTTTTCTGTCAGTCACTAGTAAATGAATACCTCAGAAGGTCTTGGATGACTTTTAGTGCTGTTCTCATTTGGAGCAGATCTAAAGCTGATGTTGCGACCATTTGTTAGCATTAAGGGTCCGATGGCACTTTACAGGAGGGTTGGGGTGTAAGTTCTGGTGTCCTGGCCAAGTTCCAGCATGGGTAATTACATTCTGTCCATCTAAACTTTCCCCTGTGGCTTTCGTTGGCTCAGGTATTCTTAATTTCCTGTCTTAAAATGTTCCATAGTGTTGCAGTGGTGCTGTTAAATAGTTGTCAGGTTTCACCTCGGCAATGTGTGAGATGATTCATACCTTACAGATTTGCAGATATCTGCACGTCAGAGCAGCCTGTGAGACCTGCAGGAAAGGCAGAGTAGAAATGACAAGATGTCATAATGACTATTTCCTCAATTAATTTTCTAATTTTGTGACACTTCAAAAAAACCTCTCTCTCCCATTGTTAATAAAATAAATTCCTCTCTCTCTCGAACCTTTCTTTTCTTGTATGCCCAGGAGAGAAGATAGCAGCTGAACAGAAGTGTGCGGGGCTAAATGAAAACCCATATCCCTGATTATGCCAGCACGTGAAGAAAACCAAAGTCCAGGTTTGAACTCCTGCCTCACCAGCAGAACAGGCAGAATCACATTTTTAACTTTACGTACTTGGAAGCTTTCAGAAATGTCAGTTCCAAACCCAGATTTATGCCCTAAAATCATTCTTACAGTAGTTTTTTTTTTTTTTTTTCTTAAAAAGTACAAGCAAGTCACCAAAAAGTGTCAAAGGTGAGATGAGACCGAGTGAACGTGTACTTTAATTTTCTCCTTGTTTTGCCCTTCCACTGACAGCTAAAAAGCTAAACCAATTCTAAATCACATACTCCATAAAAATAAAATACAACTTCCTCAAAATCCTTGTTCAGTATGGTCTGTGTGAGTCTCTGTTGCTTGACACTCCTTCATCATTATCTGCCATGATTCCTCCTCTAGATAGTTTGCTTCAACATTGCGAAACTTCTGCAACTTCTGAGGCCAGGCTGGATGTGGGAGAGGAGCTTAAAGTATTCAGTCTCTCACCAAAAATAAGTCAGGAGGTGAAGATGTATTTGTTAGGGAAGAGAGGAAGGCTTTTCTACTGGTGGTTTCAGCCAACCCAAAATCTGTGAAGCCCCCGGAGATGTCTACCTGAATCCATTGCTCAGATATGAAGTGGAAAATGAGGCTTTTAACTTCAGCACTGCAATATGTTGCCTAAGGTGGAAGGAGCATCCATGCCATTTTAACGCAAACAACGCATAATGTGTCTGTCTTGTGGTATTATGTCTCATGTACAATTCTGTGATTCTGTGATGTATTTATCACGAAGTGGCAGAAACAGGAGACTAATAAAACGGTGAGATTTCATTCTAATATGAATTTCTGAAAGTCTCAATAGCTACAACCATCACTAGGAGCCCAGCAAAGACCCACTTCTGTCTTTCACACCATCCTGTATAAGAACGATCTCTTTTGCAAGAGCAGGGGAAGAAGCTGAGGTGCATAACAGCTTTATACTCCAGTTTTTATGGCTTTCTCCTCCAAGCCTTTCTTCAGAACTGGATACCAGCATGGCTCACAGTGGAAGCTTTGTCTGCCTTGTCTGCTCAGTAACAATGTGAGTTACTGGCTGGATTACCATTGCTTGGCTGTCCTGTCTGCAATTGTGGAGAGGCTCGCAATGTCTGCAATGTCTGCAATGGGTAGGCTTTTAAACATGCTCTCTTAGAAAGGGAAAGCAAATGCATGCCAGGTGTTGTTAATGACAAATACAGAGCAGTAAAGGTGGGAAAGCATTAATGCTGCTTAGGGATAGCAACGTCTTGAAGAGTCACATCTCCACATGATCAGGTCTAAGCAACAAAATTTATGCATCTCATTTCCTGGCAGAAAGCAAGTCTTCTGAGTCTCAAGCTCTCCTGAAATATGCTCAATTAGGGCCTAATCCTGGAAATCTGAAAGGTGTTGAATTCCCAGGAACCACTCTGCAGTACACTTGGAAAAAAAAAAAATTAAAAAAATTCTGCCACCCTGAATAAAAGCAAAGTCAAAGACTTTCTTAATTAGGACAATCGGTGTTTATATAAAGCCAAAAAGTGAAGGAAAATGTGGTGTAGGAAGTTCCAGTAAGTCAAGCTTGGTTTGAAAGTCAAGGGTTTTTACTTTGCCCTCAGTGTACACAGGCTGGGATCATTTTTATTTTTTTTTTTAACTGCTCTGATCCTGCTGCCCTTAAACATATAAAATTCCCACTTCAATCAATGGGATCTGTGCATACTTAAGAGCCACCAGGTCGGACTCATAAATGTCTGTCACTGATTGTACAACACATCAGCACTCTCACAGCTGATTAAAGGAACAGACATGTCAACAGCTGAAGAGACCTTTGCACAAATAGGATAGCGACATCATGTCAATATTTTCCTAATGTGTGAATAAGTGCTTTAAGGGACAGGGCACGCAGTATTCAAGAAACTGAAGTGAGGGAGATGATTGGGAGAGCTTACTGAATTCTTATCTAAACACAAAAAGGAAATATTAAATATTAAATCAAATTATTAATACTAGAACATACTATGTTAACATGACACTTCACCTTCTCTAAAGCAGCCTGTTACCACTTGCCTTTGATATATAATATTGCACTAAACATGATTTTCTCTCACTGCTTCACAATGCGGAATAGCAAGGGTGGAAAGGCTTGCTTATTATCAGAGAGACGAGTTTCCAGACAGGGCTGTATGATGTGGTTTCTGGAGGTAGCCAGCAGATGAGCTGCAGCAGTGGGGGATATGCAGTTGGCCTTGAGGCCGTTGGGGATTGAGGTATGAAATGGCATCAAGCCACCCTGAAGTCCTCCAGTCCTCCACCAGTCCTGTACGAGAAGCGAAGCTGCACTCTTTTTCTTCCATCTTCTGTTAGGTATGGCTCAGAAGCAGCTAATCATGTAAGCATAATAGTGATTTTCTAAGTCCACAAATAGTCTAATTATATCAGCAGATTTGCTTATCTAATCACCTAAGTTTAAACAGAAATTTCATCGTTTAGGTGTTTGAATGATTCTGAAGAGCCTTGTCTAGTGCCCAGGACCATCTGGAGATATTACAGAAATGTTATCCTTGTCCCTCCATTATCAAGGACAGTGTTAGAATTCAGAGGAGCAACTCAGAGGAGGCAAATAAGGGAAACTCTGGTCTGACATGTACATAGATATGGGTTTCCCTTCTTGGGAATCCATCTGCTCAGTTGTCTTGACATAAGGCACCTCACAGTGTAGGAGATCTTGCCTGTTTTCTCACTAACAAAAAAGTTACATGTTTATAAACTTTTTTTTTCTTTCTCACCATTTTATTGAGGGGTAGGCTTCCATTTGTCTCCATTTTAACACAGGAAGAGCAGCCTTCGTTTACATTGTTCTCCCTCTTTTCTTGAGAAGGATATGTGACACAGGAATATCAATTCATCACCAGCTCCATGCTGACTTTTGTCTTTCCTCCCCACAAGCCCTGAGTACTCAGAGTCTTTTTTTTCTGATAAATCTTGTTTCTGGAGAACAAGTCCTATGAGAAGCGGCTGAGGGAGCTGGGCTTGTTCAGCCTGGAGAAAAGGAGGTTCAGGGGCGACCTTATTGCTCTCTACAGGTACCTTAGAGGAGGCTGTAGCAAGGTGGGGGTTGGTCTGTTCTCCCACATGCCTGGTGACAGGACGAGGGGGAATGGGCTTAAATTGCGCCAGGGGAGTTTTAGGTTGGATATTAGGAAGAACTTCTTTACTGAAAGGGTTGTGAGGCATTGGAACAGGCTGCCCAGGGAAGTGGTGGAGTCACCATCCCTGGAGGTCTTTAAAAGACGTTTAGATGTAGAGCTTAGTGATATGGTTTAGTGGGGACTGTTAGTGTTAGGTTAGAGGTTGGAGTCGATGATCTTGAGGTCTCTTCCAACCTAGACAATTCTGTGATTCTGTGATTCTGTGATCTTGTGTAACCCATTCTTAGAGTACACTGGCGTGCAGTAGAAGGGACAGAAGGAGAATGCACAAAAATATTTTTGCAACGGATAGGCCCAGCTTAGATCATGGCTAATCAGAAGGAAAAGGAAGGAGAGGCTTCATGAAAAGGTCCTTCAGAAAAGGGCCCCAGAGCTCTCAGAATACCAGGTAATACTTGCCAGGTTTGGATGACTTGCATTAGTTTCAGGACATAAACATACAGGATCAACAATTAAGTGAAAATGCAGAAGGCCTTTGAAATGCTTCAGGTGAGCACCTGATGTCTTAAACTGATGGCCAGGAATCTCTGGGGGATTTGGAAGTCCCCAGCAATGATGTGGGTATGGTTCAGTCCTTCCCATGTCAATTTAATGATGTTGTCTGATTTCTGGGTCCTACCAGAAAACTGTTTGGTTATGTGTCAGCAGTATCACAGCAGTGTTTCACTGACACAGTTTCACTGACACAGCAGTGAAACAAAAGGAGTTTCACGTCTGTGTTTTTACAGTAGAATTTGTAATTCTGTAAAGTACTTCAGTGCTTGTGGAACTCATTGCACGAATTAATAAATAATACTAGCTTGGAAACTGCAAGACACTGCTTCAAACCTAAGAGGACTCTAATCCTTTCAAGCTATGAGGACATCTTTTCTATATTCCCTTTCTTGGGATGTAAAAGATATATTTTTCCAAAGCATTTGAACAATTTGACTGGGACCCAAGGGGAAATTCTGGATGCTTCATGGTAGAGTAATGAGTCAGAAAGTTTTCCTGCCAGGGATTGAGAAATGCCTGACCTCATTTCTGAGAACACTGCATGCAAGAAGAAGATTTTTGCCCTTAGTGGAATTCTAAATGTTTAGTGCAGACCTCTGAGCATAAGGCAATGGCATCAATTTCCAAAAAAGAAAGATTTTATGATTATCTTTGTATTTACTTATAGAGAAATGCATGCTTTAGGTCAAATTTTAAATCTCAAGAGCTAAATTTAAATCGTTGTTTAGGACTAATTTTAAATGAATGTATTAAAAGGAAATAATAGTGAAGAGTTTTTTATTATTGTTTATTAAATATATAGCTTTGACCTAAGCTATAGCTTTGTATACATAGCTTAGTCATCTAAACCCTAAATCTGGGAAAGCTGCTGGAGGTCCACCCATTTGCACCAAGGCAGGATGAGCCATATCTATTGCATTTCTGACAAATATTTATCTGATTCTTTCTTAAGGACCTCCAGTGTTGAAGACGCCCCAGGGCAATCTATTCCCAATGTCTAATCTGAGTTGTCCTTGCTCCAAATGTAAATTGAGTGTTTCTCATCTGATGTGCTATGGAGAACAACAAGCACATATTAGCCCTGTGGCTATGTAGAATAAGTTCTACTGAACTGGTGGCAATTAAAATTTCATCCTTATTTGTTTTGTTTTTATAGTGCCTACATCTGTAATCAGCATACATGTTTCATAAAAAGAATTACTACTGGACCTAAGTAAAATTATACATGTAATTTCCAATTTTGTATAATTTTCTTCTGCAAAAGATCCCTTACCCTTTAGGCACGCAGCAAAAAGCCTGTGGCATCTATTCTTTGGGTGACACACTGGATAAAATCCCTAGTGCATGGCATGCATGCAGCACTTTTGCAGCACTTTGCCTTGCTTTTTTTTTGCTTTGTTTTGCTTTGTTTTAACATTTAGATCAGTAAGTCCATAAACAATATTATTCACTTAAATTCCATTTATTTGCCACATAACTGGTTGAATTGACTCCATCAGAATTTGACTGCCACATGATCTCAGTATCTCATCACCAGATAAATGCACATGGGCATGTTTAAAAATCTATGGGAAAGTTACCAAAGCTGATACAAAACTGAAGTTTTCTTTATGGTAATTGTATGAATATATGACATTGTACAAACGAAGATCCTAAATACATAAAATTTTATTTATTTATTTATTTATTTAAGGCAGTAAGTACCACTGCCTTTAATGAAAATCAGCCTTTTTATCCTGGAGACTAATATAACTCCTGGCCTTGGAGTTTGAACCCTATCTCCCTAGACTGCCAGAGCATTCTCATTTTTCATCCCTGCTGAGAACACAGCTACAGCACATTTCCTAATTTTTATCATATGCTAGTGTGTTTCGTAAAAAGCAATTCCTTTTTTTTATTATTTTTAATAAAAATAATCAAATAAACCACATGGCAATGAGTAGATATTTTCTACTTTTTTACCTTACTTGATCAATTCATTTGAGAAACCAGCAGTTATTTTCACTTGAGCTAGAATTTGTAAGACTTCAGTCAAAAATGTGACTTTTTAATATCTTATTAAATTTCATGTGGGTTATGCAGAAAATAAATTACATACAACTGTACTACATAAGTACCATTGCTGTATTTTTTTTTCACTGAGCAATTTCTGAAGGCAGCATAAATCATCAGCTAAATTCTGCCGCCCTTCCTCCAACCTCACTGAGCCAAAATCCCATTAAAGTTAACTTTGAGATTTGGCCCCATGACTGGATGAGTATGGGAAAGCCTGTAATTTATAAGGCCATATCCAGTCTATTATACTTCTGGAAAATGTGCAGAAATATATTTTTAAGAGACTTTTCTCTCCAAGTTCCTAAAAAAGCCTGAGTAATTTCAGGGAGGCAATCTGATGGACAGATTTGTATGAATATTTATATAGCTAATAACAGAGCCAATGCTTCTAAATATTTTCTAAGAATATTCGCTCAAGTAAAACAGTGAATGCGTTTTGGCTGTTTGTCCTTTTTCTATTTACTTGCTTTGAATATTCCCGCAGATGAGTTCACAGGCAGGAGTGTTGAAGAATGCTTGCGAATAATGACACTACTCACAAATTGGGTTTAAACGTGTAGCTCAGAACAGTTTCATTAGAAATCTCTTTTAATTTGTGAATAGAAGTAATGATACTTGGCAACTGATGCTCAGAAAAGTCTTACATTTTAATTTTGAATAGTTGGGTCTTTTAAAATACAAACAATTGCAGGTGATCTGCAGAGAACCTATTGAAAGAGTAATTTCCACTAATCCAAGAAAATTATAACGTATCTGCAGAAAATATGAAAACAGAGAAAGGTTAAATCAATTAAGTAGGTTATTTACTACAAAACACTCGATCAGCCATAGAAACTAACCCTGAACAGATGTATACTGTTCTGATATACACTTGTGGTCTATTTGAAGATAAGTTAAAATGCTTTTCTTAATATCAAATAAATACTCTTCAAAATGCTCCTTCAGATCTTCAGTCATTACTAAGAACATGTGCAGTGCAGGATTAAACACTGCAAATATATGCATCTTAAAGGTCAAGACCTGAATGGAGAAGTCTTTATTGCCAGCATAAGAATTCATAAAATCCCACATATCCCGTATGCCTAAAGTCAAGTTCTTTAAATAACTTGAATTTTGATGTCTGGGATGAAAACAGACCAGTATAATTTTGAGAAGTACTGGAAGCCATTTCAGTTGCAGCTGAGGTCCCTGTTCCCATCCAGCCAGGCTCATCTCCAGAAGGACACTGTAAAGCTGGCTGAGTCCCCACCACTGGGCAGACATTAGGCAGGTGAGGGCCCCCAGTTTACCTCCACCCTACATTTCTGAGTAAGTACTGAAAATAAATTCATGAAAACATGTCCATTAGGTCCATTTCTCTCCTTACTGCCTGCCTGCTAGCTTTACAATGCAAGGGGCATGAGACTAAAGCTTTCTGATGAATGGGCAGTGAGGACTCGTTTATAGGTCTGGAAGAAAAGCTGGCATTGATTACAAGAGTCTCTTGGATCCATTAACAATATAGCATACCATAGATTTTAGAAATCACAGGCTGTTCAAGCAATGGACATTTACTACAAGGCTAACTACTTTATTCATGGAAGTTTTATATTCTTATGCTTAAACTGCTTGCACACATATGTGTAAATCATCTGCTTAAATGTTCACGTGGTCTACAATTGTTGCAATATCCATAACTTGTCAGACGTGGCTGGTTATTATATTTTACAAGCGCTAATATGTATGAGTGATGTTGATATGTTCTGATTAAATTTGCTGCTGATTAGTTGATCATCACTTTGAACAACAAGAAATTATATTTCACTGTTTTTATTACACTGATTGGCATTCAGTTTATGAACCATGGCACCAATGGGAATTATCAGAGATAATTGATTTCTAATGAGGATATAGTAATTACATAGATGTAACGAAATGCAACCATTTTTATTCTGTTTTAAAACAAGCAAACATGAGATTATGAAAAGGAAACATCCAGACCCTACAGTAATCCTTAATTTCTACATAAGTGCATTGCCCTTATATTTTAGATTGATCTTCCTTTGTAATTGGTCTTTACTTCTGAGGGCTTTTCCTCTGATTCTGACTGAAGATTTGAAGAACTGTGTCTTTTCTTAAGTTTAACATACTGCTTAAAAAAAAAATAAATAAATAATAAAAAAAAAAAAGATTCCTAATGGGCAAAATAATTGTTTTGGTTTTATGTTGTAAAGCTCCATATCTTCTGGGATAAGAAAAAAATGTTTTAAATAACACTGTTATTAGTTTTAAATACATGAATAAAAAGGAATCAAGGACATAAAATATAAAAGTAGAAAAAAAATAAAGCAATTAAAAACCTCTTCAGAGTCCTTACTTAAAATGTCATATATCTGCTTTCCCCTGCCTGTGTGTGCCAAGATGAAACGTTCAACTAATTTTGCAGTTTTTAATACTAGCTTACCAGGTTTCGGTTCATGATTCTATTACATCCCTGCTATCTGGTTCTCGCATGTTGATACCATCAGTGCCATTGGCCCTAATTCAACAAAGCACTTACGTATGTGCATAAATCCCACTGACATCCATATATGGTTGCACTTTGTTGAATTGGGGCTGCTGTCATCACAAAATTAAACATGGAAAAAACCTCCAGTTAAGACATTCATATGTAACCTGGAAACTAGCAGATGTATTTGCAGGCTTCTGCTTACATTTTATGCCGTGCTCTGCCTGCAAGCCTACAGGTCTCTGCTGTATGCCCAGGCTGTTCTGAAGTGCTGGGACACAGCATCCTCACACAAATGCCTGAACATCCTTGCCTTTGCTTCACATGTTTTTCCTCTCTCTCTTGTTCTCTCTTTGTTTGAATATGATGTTTTGCGACCCACAGACTCAGTCCTGCTTATTAAAAGCCACTTGTTGCAGGCTTAGGATCACATCTAACTTGTGTGCCTACACTTTCCTTAATGCTGTTGCTCACTTTTAGGCCCCCTAATAATGGCTGAAGTGTTTCTACTTAATATACGCAGAAGGACCTTTCTGAACACACTCTAGTTTGAGTATAGTTGAGAGTTTCTTATGAGCACATGCTCCAAGAAGAAAGCCATAGACTGTATCGTGAAGGAATTGCTGGCTGCCTTAACACCTCTCCAGCATGATTCATGCAAAAGCACTTAGAAATATCCATCTGGGCATGTGCTCTTCGCCAGCTTCCCTAGCCCATGCAGGACCAGCAGCAGTGGCCTATTGGTGTGAATAATTTATGTCTCTGGGTAAAGCATTTTTACATCTTCATATGTTCACCCATTAAGTGCAATTCGAAAGCCACAGGAATGCACAGAATGTCCTGGACTTCACTGAGCTCTGATATCCTTAAAGGAAAAGAAACTTATCTTCATATACCAACGCTGCATGCAAAAATTACTCAGGAAAATACTTCTTCCAGCAGAGGATACTAAGACACTTTATATTACTTAATTATTTTAGCACTGTAGTGCTGACCAGAAGATAGATACCAAACTGACAGTGCAGTTATTACCTGGACACTAAACTTTAGCTTTACAGACAGATGTGCTTGCTGTACTCACTCATTAAAACACAATTCCAAATATATTTTATTTTAGATTCTCCCCTTTATAGTGTTACAAGAGTCATTACGAATAATATTAGTTTATTATACCTTGATAAGATGCTTATGAAGCACAGGATGATGTTTATTTTTATGAACCGTTACCTCAACTCATAAAAGTTTGGTTACCTTTACAGTAAAATAGAAACCTGGCTGTCCTCCTTCCAAATGTGTGCAGTTTATTACAACACTCAAATTCCATATTTAAATATGCTCTTGTTGTTTTTTTTTGTTGTTTGTTTGCTTTTTTTTTTTTTTTTGTGGTGGATATTCAAGTAATGGTGTTTAGCTATCAGCAAATACTCCATAAGTGATGGCAAGAGTATGCCAACAGGGCCTGTGATGTGTCTCCAGGTGGACTGTGCTGTTCTGGCAGGAGGAAGGTTGGGCATTCAGGCACAGCTTGGGTATTCAGAGAGTGATTAGCCAGAAATTAAGCATCAGGTAAACAAAAGACAGCCATTCAAGAGGAAGGTTCACTGTAGACAGTCTTCCTCAAACTACTGGAATACATACGATCACTACAGACCAAGAGGTCCTCCAAAAGTGGCATGTTTGGTCTGTTGAAAGACCTCTTATCTTGTCAGTATTCTTGTTGGGCAGTTCCTTTCAACAGAGCTGCAGTGTGGCTAACTCTGAGTAGCCCTTAGTTAATATACAGCAGTTATCGTGCTGGGAGGTGGCTCACACACAGAACAGCCTCACTGGCAGACAGGGGCTGTGAGAAGATGGAGCCTTCCCAGTTCTGAAGAAATCCCACAATCAGCTACAAAACTCTTACGTGCCTCAACAGGGCAGGAAGAAAACACAGATTAGTTTTCATGAGCTTAGAAAAAAGGAATGTCGTTCATACCAAATCAATCCTACTGGGCAGATTTCAACTTCTGCTATAACTATAGGTATGGTAGTAGGGTGATGGTTGGACCAGATGACCTTGGAGGTCTTTTCCAACCCTAATGATTCCATGATTCTAGGATTCTAAGATAGAGACTTTTTTTTTTTTTTTTTTTTTTTTAACATAGTATCTTAACATTAGGAAATAAATATTTCTGAGTCTTAACTCTGGAAAAGCCTGAAATATTGATTCCCAATCACTCCAAAAAGTATCAGCCTGGGGCAGAAATGCAGAACACAAAATTTCAGCCTAGCTGAAGTCCTGAGATCTCATAATGGGAATGGCCGAGTACTTCCCTAAAGATGATGGCGACAGACCTGAAGATCTCATGGCTGCAAAGCCAAGCACTGAGCAGTCAGAAAACTCTAGAATTAATGTTGCATGCTGTACTCTAATTTGCATCCCTCTGTGCCATACATAAGCTTTAAACATGATGACTTTCTTGTCTTTCTCCCTCCAACTACTGTCTCGTTCAGTGCATAAGCAGGGTTCAATTAATGAGCAGATCTTTTCAGAGAAAATGTTATGGGAGTCCAATATGAGAAAGACCAGTTTTCCCCTTTCTTATCCTTGGAAATGGCTTACTTGTACTCACTGAAATAAACAGAAGTTTTTAAAGCATCCTTCTGAGATAGGCGTCCATGATAACAAACTGGTGAGGTACAGCAATCTGAAAGGCATCTAGAAGCAGGTCTCAAAATGTGAAAGTCTGTGAAAGTATAACAGCAGTGAAGTTAGCAGCAAAGAAGAAAACATTTTAATATCATCTCAGAAACAAAAGCCTACTCTTAAGAAGTGCATATGCACGTGCAAGTTTGTCAGCAGTAAAGAAAACTTTTATTACTGTCTCTATAGTCACAGTGAATATGTCTTTAGCCAGAAATAATACTTTGATGTGAAGATTTTATATTTTAAAAAGTGATTTCATAAACCAAAAACATGTTAGACAATGTCAGCATTTTTTTTCAGACAATATTTTGGTATTAAAAAGAAAAAAAATACTTGGTTCATGATTTTTCTTGAAATCCAATAGCCTTGGCTTTCATTCTTAAAGGAAGTGTACAAGAAACTTCATGTATTTAGAGATGTGTGGATCAGCAGTTAAATCTGGCACTTTGGTGGGTTAATGACCTATAAATGCTGTGTCAATAGAATGGCTGCTACCACACTACTTTCTGACTTCATTGGAAGAATTAAACTCAAGAATGTTTTTGAAGGTAGACAGCCCTTGCTACTGAAAGGGGAAGTCATATCTTGGAAGGGATGCTTTGCATCAAAACAGCTTTATGAACAAAAGCTGTTTCTCTGCAGAGGTATTTCTGATTCTGGATTTTTTCTTATGGACGTTTTTGTTCCTCTGTCGTGACACTGAAATGGTTAACAGCAAACTTCTGAAATCAGATTTGAAAAGCTTGATGAAAGAGCCTGATGTTTTGCCTGATTTTTCTTTTCTTTTCCTCTGTGGACAAAGGCCTTGAATGCTGAAGGCTGAAAAGCCTATTATCACCAGAAAGAAATGTAAGTAAACAAGGCATTACAATAATGAATTCTACAGTACATGACACGAAGGCAAGAACTAGCTCAGTGCAGCAAGCAGTGAAAGATTTGGCTGTATCTTGGCAATTTTTCAAAAATGATAACAATAAGAGGTTTTGTCGCTTCAGACATGTAAAATCAAAAGGATATTTCAGCACTAAAAATGATACTGAGAGTTTCTAACCACTGACCCCAAACCAGCATTCAAAAATAGACATTAAAACTAGGAAGCTATAATCCTACAAGCCATGCACAATCAAACCTAAAGAGCTAAAAAGATTGAAATTTTAAAGTCCATTTGAAATTAGGTTGGCAATAACTACCCTTAACCACAGGAGAAGGATTTTTGATATTCAAAGTTAAGATGTGATAAAAAGGAATAATCCAAAAATTATACCACGAGTATATTTCAAAATCAGCATTTGAAATGGTCTGAAATTCCCCAGTCTTGTTCCTAAATAAACAGCAAATACAGAGGCCATGCACACAGGTAGTTTGGACTATAAAGGCTCTAAGATTTGTATTTGTAGGAAGTGAAACTGTGCATGAGTGAGATGATGAAAATTGATATTCAGTCTTGCTACAGTGCATTAACAAAGTGTGTAAATGCATCTAAAACCAAGTAAAACCAACACTTTGTCCAAACTGGTGCCTGAGTGATTCGGCAGATTAGAAGGGATCTGTTCAAAACTGCATTTACTGACAAAAAAAGTTGCATACTGAAACTCCCAAAGCAGAAGAGAGTGCCTGTGTGTGTGAGAAATACCTTACAAACTGTAAATGAATACAGAAATGAAGGCACAGTATAACAACCTCTTAATGGTGAATCGTGTCTTTTTTGCACTATCTGCCTCATCTGTGTGCGAGGAGGAGAGCCCTCGCTGCCTCTGCATGGTGTAGCTCTTAATGCCATTGACAGCAGAGTATTGCTGACTTATCTGGGGCATCCTATGGGGATGAGCAGTGTCGCTTCAAGAGACATATCTAAGGAGCAGACAGGATTGGACTGGGCACTTGTTCCTTTCTTTACCTAGGCCCTAACTAAACACTTGCACCCAAAAAAAAAAAAAAAAAAAAAATAATAATAATAAATAATAAAAAAATAAAAACAGAAAACAGGGCTTTAAACATGACAAATAATGCACTGGGGTGAAGCGAAATCCCACTGCAGATGGGGTGCAGGGTGTATTTATGTATTGTCACCTCACTAACTGAGGTCAGCGCTGTGCCTGACAATCCACAGCGGAGCAAAAACAACCGCCCTTTTTCTCCCACATTAAATTGAACGAGCATGACAGACTTTCAGCTACTGCATGACCTTCCCTTTGGGATTTGCCCCTCTGAGAAGTTTGTCAGAGCGGCGTTCGCAGAGCTGGAGCAAAGGAAGTTCAAGCAGCAAAAACACCATAGATCTCAGTTCCTGACTTTGTGTTCTTCTGCAAGAAACTTCCCCACAGAGACGAGCCCCGAAGACTCTTCTTTACAAGCCCAATGCCTGAAAGGCCGGGGGTATGCCCAAGACTGGGAAGAGTAGCTAATGTGCTTTCTCTTGGGTGAAGATGACCTTCAGGGGAGAGAGTGATACACAGTGTGATACACACTTTTCTAACGAGGAGTGGAAAGCAGTACTGCTCCATGAAAAGGCACGAAAAACATCTTCCTTGTAAATATTGTCACCAATGAGTCAGCATCCAGGCTGTGACTTGAAGTTGGCAATGTTAAAGAAAGGATTTGGGGCATGGGAAAAGTGTTCCCTCTTGACAGGATCAGATCAGGCTCTGATCCAGGCTTGGATGGATCCCAGGCATTTCTGATCAGCTCAGCTGAATCCCCACAGCAGAAACAATCCGAGCCTGCTCTGGGACCAGCAGCAGTAATGACACATTACAACCACAATAGTAGTCCTGCCTACCCCAAGTTCAAAGATTTCTGTGTGGCGTTGTGTGACATAACATGGCATGCTCTTATGCAGCTACAGGGAGTTTTGAGTAGGATAGAAGAGTCTGAACATGTTCTTGATCACTGCTTATCATTATTCCATCACAAGCCAAGACCATTCAGCAACAGGAGCACCGACAGAACAAAAACAAGCAAAACTGCCTTCACCTCTTTAAGATCTACAGTAATCATGTGTATGTATAAGAACTTTGACATTAGTAAAGTGTGAGACCTTTGACAGGCTTCTCCATATGGGCCAGAGTGGAACTGAAACCTGGAATCTCCAAGGAAATTTCAACTTCGAAGGTCTGCCCCAGCTTCAGTGTGTGGGGCTGAATAACTGAAAAAAAAGTTCTCAGCTTCAGCTAGTACCAAAATTGGAATCAAGATCAAACACTTGGTTCATGATCAGGTCCTGCTAGCCCTGCTCTGCTGACAGCAAAATAAATAAATAAATAAATAAATAAATAAATGAAAAATGTTAGTTTCAGTTAAAGCTCTGACTTGGGCTATATAAATGAATGAAATAAAGTGTCAGAAACTACCATCTTTTTTGGTAATAAACAGTCCACTTTGATGTATGTGTTTGTTGTTTTTTTTTAACTGATTCCATGAAATAAATCATTTTAATGTGCAGGTGAGGTAGCACTTTCATGTCAATTCAGTTGCTTTGTGCTGTCTATTTTAACATCTATATGTACAGAAACGAGGAAGACATATGAAGACAAATAGAATTGTAACAATAGTTGTAAAAATAAAAAAATAGTAAAAAAAACCCACTTGATTATTTGATAAAACACATACTTAGGTACTTCATAATGTGTAAACATTTATCTGAAAGTCAGAAAATAATAGTTCTCCTATTTTTACTATAGAGACATAACCATATACCCCTTTCACGGGCAAAAATTACTGCCATGAATACTGTTGTTTAATTAATGTGCAAGGGAAAAAACATAATATTCGACATAGGCACGTTTATTTAGAAGTTCTCAGTACCCAGTGCAATTATTGGCAGCAGTGGGATTATGGGTGATCATGCTCATAACTTTCAGCAATATAAATTACTAAAATTTCTGCTTTGTCAGCATATCTCATGCATCCAGAAAATTTACTGCTGTTTTTTTTTTTTTAAATTGTTGCATTAGCCACTGGGCTGGGATATTCTTTCTCAACATTAAATAGTTCCTCTAGAGTTCACTACTTTCCACATACATAATTGAGTCCCAATGGATTTCTGTGAGTCTAGTAACACATTGGCGCCATCAAAACTCTTCTGCCATCTAGATGGTGAACCCAACGTTTTTATTAATTTACTGCATTTGAATTAAAATATGAGTAGTGAACTACAACTCCCAGACACATTCCACAATATTCATGCTTAGTATGTCACAAAATCATTAAAGCATTATTGTAAAACTCAGGAAGGCTGTGGGGTGGGGAGGGCAGCAGGGAGTGGGACAGAGCAGAGTGAGAACAACCAGACCAACTGAGACAAATTGCACTGAATTCCATATGCCATACATACTTACCAAATGTTATTTATCCAGAGAAGACAATGTTATGCAGGAATGAGGAATAGCACAGTATGATATGAAGAGGAATTGCTTGGCCAATTAATTTATTTTTCCTGAAAGGGAAGGAATCCGTAAAACATTGTCATTGGACAACTTAGTCCTAACAAAAGAGTGTAGGCTTTACAGTGAGTATTCCATGTGGCAGGTTGTTTACTTGTAAAAGCTACTGAGTGGGTTGCAGAGACGAAAGCATGAAATATCTGCTGCTTTTGTGTTTTGGTGGCTATAACCAAACCCTTTAATTTCCAGCCTGGCAACAGAAACATGAAACATGGGAGTTTTGTTGAGCATTATGCCCAAGCTAAAAAATCATAACGATATTTTTTTCACTATAAACCTGTTCCTAGAGATATTTTCCTATTTTATAAAACCTATTTGGCTCACAGTGAAAATCCCCCTCTGACAGAAGCTTCATCTGGTGGCTGTTTAGGTATCACCCAGTGCGCTAAGCTTCTTGGCACTGTCGTGATATATTTAATGCCTAATATGAACACATCTGATGGGTACGTTTCCTGTTTACTGCAGGTCCAGTGCCTGGTCTGATAGCTAATTCTGACTACCTCAAATAGTAGCGGTGGGTTTTCTACTTTTGCTCAGCTTCTCTTTTCATTTGTATTTGCCAGGGGCTTAAATTACACCTGTCTGCTTCATATATCCTACCGGGTTACTGCTCCATGCAGCTGCACCTGAGAGACCAAAACCCTATTAGACTAAGTGGTGTGCAAACATCAGTTAAAAAAAAAAAGGAGAGAGAGAGAGATTGATTGATACTTACATAAAGAAAAAGGCAGAAATGGAGAAAGAGGATGCCTGAGGAGATGTAGTAATGCTAATAGGCTTTTGTACATGTTATAAGAACTCCTCATAGAATGTTTTAGAAAGTACGTCTGGTTGCCAAAGTGAGGTCAGAAGAGATGAGAATAAAAGGAAAATCAAGATGAAAGAAAGGAATGAACCAGTGCAGCTAGGAGTGACCACAGAATGAGGTGGGGCTGGTTTGGCTCCACAGGCTTAGATCCAGTCTGCCTGGGAAGGTGGTGACAAAATAATTCTTGCCTTACTTGTAACAATACAGCCTATAATATGTTTAGATAATAAGGGATTAGCGATTAGATAATAAAGATCTACATGCCCTACAGCAACAGTCCTCGGCTGTTGAACACAGGTGGTTCTGCAGGGCAGAAAGCACTTTCTCATACCTTAGAAGCAGAAGCTTGGACAAGGGTTACCACCAATTGGCTAGCTGTCTATTAACATTTTTAGAGAAATTTGGTGTTAAGGCTTCCTTTCTGTTATGTTTATAAAATTGTGGTACTCTTTTATCTCTTTTACTCAGTATTTTTGTTACAGAAATTCATTTACAGCTGTCTGTTATTAATATTTTCAGTTGCAATAATTTACTTTTTTTTTTTTTTTTTTTTTCAATGATTTCTTGAAAGCTACCTGAGATTCCCAGATCGGGTCTCGGAGTCTTCTGTCACTTCTGTGAACATATTTTTAGTGTCTGACTCTTCGAGTTCAAAACCCTGTACCTTGTGTTTCTGAACTGGCAGAGTGGCAAGGTTAGTATTTGATGGTCTCGGCACAAAAATACCAACCACAGCAAAGGTCCTTGAACAAATCCTAACACCCAGGCAAGGTGGGATACATCTTCTCTCTAGAGACAAAATACTGCCAGTTTTCTGGATGTCAGATAACCCAAACATCAGGGGGTCCTCAGTTCTATGTCCCAATAATGTAACAAATATTCCTTTTTTCTTTCCCCCTCCTTAGACGTATTCAAAAATTCCCTGTGGATATCTTTGCTTATATAATCAATTTATGGGTAGGATGCACTAAGGAATAAAGAATAGGTATCCTGTCAACAATTCACTATTGCAGAAAATAACATTTGTTAAAATTAGAAAGTTGTTGAATAAGGCCTTGATGATAATTGCTAAAGTTGAGTATTTATGGTAAAGTGACACAGACTTAGTCATTAGAAAAGCAAAATTCAGCATTTTAAAAGTGTTGGTTTCCACTGACTATTGAAATTCAATATGCTATCACTGGAATTATTTATTGATCTATTTAGCAGTTTTACAGACCATTGCTATATACTTGTTAACATTTGAAAAGCAAAACCAAAACAGCTATCTTTTCTGTTCAGTCCATCTTGTACCATGACACATTTCCTGGATGAACTATAAGCAATAAATTCCATGCTTGCTGCATGTTTTTGCAAAACTATAAAATCTATGGAGGCATCAAAAATAAAATCTAATAACACAGATGATGGCCAGGCATTCCTTTCACATTGAAACTCCTGTGGTCTGACTTGCAGAGGAATCTAGATGTGCATTTCGCACTGATTCCAGTAAAAGCTATGAATAAATCCTCAAAGCAACTTAGTCACTGAAATATCTTACTCATAGATGATTGCCTTCTAATACCATCCTCCTTCCTGATTTAGGAACTTGTGGGAGCAGAGAGCACTTCTGAAAGAAGAGAGATGCTTTTTCAGATACAATTGCACTTTGGAAGAAAGGACAAGACCCAGAAGCCAAAGCAGGCAACCTGCCTGGATTTGGGCACCTAACTCAGATCAGGTGTGTCCCTCCGTCAGGATCCTGAGTAGTGAAACACATTCGGCAACCATGCTTTTATTTTATTTTATTTTATTTTATTTTATTTTATTTTATTTTATTTTATTTTATTTTATTTTATTTTATTTTATTTTATTTTATTTATTTCCCCTGGTAAGAAGTTTAACTAACATTTTCCATACCTTTGGTCATTTTAGGATGAAACTTTCCATCTCTCCATTGGTGCTGTTTCACTTCATATAGTTACCACAAAAACTAAAAGAGGCAGAACATACAGAATACTGGCTAATGAACATGGACAAAAATAACTTTTTTTATTCCTGCCCCAAGGGATATAATAGAATATCTATAATTAGAGACACTTCACAGAGATTTTAAAAGAACAAGGCCTGAGTAACCAAATAACTTGACCTTTGGGGATGTGGTAGACCTGAGATCAAGTAAATTCTTCAGATCATGCAGAAAAAGAATTTGAGTCTTTGTCCTTCATCTCCCTAATGATTGCTCTAACTATGTAACTCCCTTGGCCATGTGCACAGTCTCTCCTTTGTCCACTCATCCATTTCCCCAAATGTTTTTGTTTCCTACTTGCTGGATATCCTCCTGTTTTTTTTGCCTAGACTAAGTTGTTGGCTTTAGCTCTGGCAGCAATAATGGCAAACTTTATATAATGTTCTAAATGATAAAGAATGGAAATGTTTTGTTAGTGTACTTGGTTCAAGAATTGAAATCACAATACATTGAGTATAGTTCTGTGATACAATTTGCATCCTAATACTACTAGTAATTAATTCTAGTCCAAAATACTGTAGAGATTTCATCAAATGCAATTCAGTTATACCTAAAAAAATTACTAGAATTTCCTCATATTATTTTTTTTTCAAATCTTAATAGAAACACTCGAAAAAATAGAAACACTAGAAAAAAAAGTTGAAAGATGTAGATGCAACTGAAAATGTTTAGAGAAGAAAAGTGAAGTTTCATAGTCCAATACTTAAATTCTATTAAGATTTGACTGTGTCAAATAAATTGCCACACTTCTATGACTTTATGAAAGTTGTTTTTCAGGGTAGAAGGTAGTATTACTGAAAACAGAGTGCTTTATTCTGAAAATTATAAATTTTGGAACAAAAGAACACAATTTGTTTAGATTATCCTTTCATACTTAGTTAACCAGACACTTCATCTAAGGTGTGATACCATTTAAAAATAGTCATTCAGGTAAAACATAAGCATCACCACTGTAATATTACATGGCCAACACACTATCTGTATTAGACTTGCTTGGAATTGATGAACATGATCTTCAGGTGTGTATAAAACATAGGTTAAGTATTTCATCTTTAAATATAGTTCTAAAAGCTAAGGAGAAAATCCTGCAGAAGGAAATGAGAGATGAGTCACAGTAACCCGTGAGGGCAGTATTTCACCATCATCATTTGTCCTCAGTCCTGGTGCCCAGTGAGGGCCAGGAAGGCAAGACCTGAACACCTTGTGGTGCACCTCAGTGGAGCTTTGCAATGGAACCAGTCAGCTGAGCTCTGCCCAAAAAAACTTACCCTGAAATCTGAAGGAAGAACAGCCAGGTACACACCAAGCTGTCCTCTAACCCTGAAAACACATGACCATTTGTCACAGCCCCCAGGGAAGTATTGATGTAAGCAGCTTTATATCATCTTTTATTTGCAAGACTGGACAGTCTTCTGGTAACCTTGCAAGTGTGAAAACTCCTTACTGTTTTCTGTCACAGTGCCTCTCTACAAACTGACCAGAATTTAGTCCTCTGTAATTTGGGACATCGCAATTAACAGTGAATGTTTCCCAATAATGAGAAAAAACATTTTCACCCTTTAGTCAATAAACATTTTCAAGCACTGCAAAAGCTAAACAGGAGAGCTCTAACGGTTTGGGAATACTAAGCCCTGATTGATTAGCATTAATCATTTATAATGAAAGAAGCAATTGCTTCATTCATGCCTCATAGTCATGCAGGATTTCATGAGGTATTTGAGAGACGCAGGTTTTGAACTAAAATATGACATTTGAAAATGTAAAATTCAACATAGGAGTTGCAGCTAATAAGTCTGAACTAGCTGAAAGTAGGCACTTTTACTTTCTGTCATTTTATTTTTTAAGCTATATATTTCCATTGGTGGCTCAAGTTTTGTGTTAATGCATTTGAATGTTGTGGCACATCACAAATATTGTAGGACTGAGCTGAGCTGCTAGAATGCAAGTGTTGATTTTATGCCATGCCTTGCAATAGATGTGTCTTTGTGTAAAGCAGTAAAAATTGGTAGAGATGGGATACAAGTAGCAGTAAAAAGAAAAATGTTGAGACTCTTTCTTTTAAAATACATCCTGCAGTTTAGCTATAAAGCTCCTTATTTTTAGAAAACCAGTAGAATTGTTCAGGCTCTGCCCCTGCAGTTTCAATAGCAGTCTAGTGCTTTAAAACCATGACCTTGAAAAGAAAGCGTTTACATTGTAAATGTACTGGCAGTATGTAGACTATTCTATGAGTGAGTATCCAACTGCGGCAAAAAGTTCAGAAGCAGGTTTTCTTTATTCAGAAAGGCCTAATCCATGGGGCTTTTTTAGTGGTAAAAGCACTTGGCACTAATTGTGACTTACTTCTAGCAATGAACCTGTATAATTCTCAACTTTCACACAGCCAATTAATTCCAATGAATACCAGAAATTGTGGATTCTGATAGGTGTTGATAGGTATTTCTGATGTTCGTATATTCTACAAACATAGGGGAACTCTCAAAGCTTGTTCTTCTGCCCCAAATGCGATGTCGTCTCATAGCTTGTGATTGTACACGAGTTTACGATGACCAGAGTACTTAAAGGCTAAGCAGCAAGCAATCTGTGCAGGAAACACAGGGACGAAGCGTGGCTTTCGAGGGATTTGCAGCTGCTCCCACTACTGGAGAAGCCCTTGGGGCAGCCTGATGGAGGAAGTATGATGGAGAAGAGGCCAAGCAAAACTGCAGGGACTCCCTGCATTGGGACCAATTCACAACAAATCTTTTGTGAAAAGTCTCCCCTTAGAAAAGCTTGTTGAAAAGTGTAGCTTTCCCTCACCTAACCACAAAATTAATGGGTTCTCCATTCTTGTACGGAGGCCTTGGTCACAACTCTACACTTTTGGGAGACTTCTGTATTGTTACTAAAGCAGAGATTTACCATTTTTATTATACATGAAAAATAACATACCTTCCCCAAGCTTACAGTTCTCATCCTTGAAAAACAGGATGAATGTTCAGAGCAGTAATAAATAAATCTGTTAATTTGTGCTAAAATTAAACCGGTCATTTAAAGAAATTTAGCATCTGTTCTTTGTCCTGAATAATCTTAAAACAACAGATTCTCTCTACTCTCCATTTAGTTAAAAATAATTGAAATCTTTTGTACAAGCTGTACTTGATAAAAATAAGTTGTAATTAAGATAAGTCACTAATTATTGTTTAATCTAATTTTTATAATTATATAGGATCCAAATAGGGTGGGGTCGATAGCTCTGTTAGCTTTGAAGTAGAACCATGTCATTGATCAAATGGTCACCATCCTCCTCTACTGCTGGCCTTCACCAACCAAGTGTGTTAGATATGACAGTGATATGGTGGTAGGAGGTAGACGGGGCAAGTCAAGAGCACCCAGTGTATTTCTGGCACAAGTATCAATGGCCGACTGTGGGATAAATGACTGAAAGGTCTCTCATGTCATTGCTGTCTCAGCTCAACTGCATATTGAAATAACCCTATCAGGGAAACCAAGGTACCTGTCCGAGGAAACCCCTTCAGACAGTGTGGCATTAAAACTGTGCTAAGGAAGTCTAAGGAAGGCCATCTGTGGGAAAGACCTATATATTTCTTAGCTAGTCATGCCCTACTATTTAGAGCTATTTATTAGTAGCTAATAAAAATATAAAGAATAGAAGCCTTCTAATTGTTGTCATGTTTCATTAATTTGCATCAAAGCATGACCTTTCAGAGCAGTCTTGTGAAAATTTGAGATTGGGACACCTTCAGGAAGGTTACAGAGAAAATAGTTGCTGCTGTACAAGCTCTCACACCTTTCAAATGCTCCAGCAATGTGTCTTATGTTTCTTAAGTGTATGATTGCTGCAGCCTCCATATCGCAGCTGGACAGTTTAATATAGAGCTGGTTATACTCCAGTGTCAATGGCAGTTTGATAGTTATGTCCAGGGACTCCATTTGACAAGATAAATAATCCGGTCAGTGTACACTGCTTGTTACACATTCAGTTGAATACCACCTGCAAGAATTCATCAAATGGAGCCAACAAGACAATGCCTTTCTAGTATTTGATATCCTGAGGTAAAACTGTCAGCTCAAAGGTCCTGATTCTTCTTCAGCATACCCATCAGTCAACGAAGACCTCAAACAAGTGAACATAGAAGGTCACAGTCTTGCCAAATGTAACCACTTTGTCTACTGGCAAAGCACAAAATACTTACACATTTTTAGGATTTCACAAATAAACCAGAAAAGTCAGTCTGGGAGTTAATTATAATTAAAAAGGGCAAAAGGCAGCTTGAATGAAAGTAGAACTCTGTTCCTCTGATTACGTGATCTTAGTAAAATAGGTGATTCTCTATACTTTCAAAGAACTTAAAACTGTGCAAGTCTTTTTGTCTTACACTTAAAGATAGTCTTGTAGGATTAACAACCATTTCCCCTTTTAAACAGCATTATTTTAAAAGTTCTTCTGCAGAAAACTTCATGGAGAATGCGGAAAACTTTCAAAACAGTTGCTTTCTCCTCAGTGGAACTCAGAGTGCTGCACCTATACCCCACCTTAAGTGGGCATATGAACAGGGCATATAGCCCCGTATACTCTCTGACCTGGCTCTCTGAGGGCACTTAAGGTTACAGATGATTACAGCTGAGCCCCAAGTGTCCAGAGCATGCCATCTCAGGCTGGCCATCAGTCCCAGCTCCCTTAGCAGCATATGGTATGAGATATGGGATGGGTGTCCTTCTGGGGAGGGATGCCAAGAAATCTGGTCTGCGGGCTGTCAGCCAGACCATGGCACCAGCCTGGCAAAAGCAATGCAGAACAGCAGCCTAGTTGTTGTGCCGCTCACCCTGTGGACACCGCCAGAGCGTACCCAACCTCACCAAGCGACAGAAGTACCCAGAAATCCAGCCTGACCCTGCTCTTCCCTGGCTGCTTTGAGGCTTGCAGCGCTAGTGTGAAGAGAGTTTATGATGAAAAAGCAGAGCAGAAGAAGCCTATATCCACAGGGGCATTTTGAGAAGAACAGCATGTTTCCATTGTTCTTCCTGCAGCTGAGATCACAGGGTTCTCTTAACCAAAGTAGCTGCTGGCTGTATTCTTAATGGGAACACTATAATGGCAAAAAGGGAAAAAAAAAAAAAAAAAAAAAAAGTAATTTTTTATTTTAGGCAATCATTTTTAGGCTATCATTTGAGTCTGAAACTAGAAACACAAAAAAATGCCCCTCAGAATAATTTTGTTATTTGGTAATGTCATTATACAACAGAACTGAGGTTCTTCAGGTGCCTTTTCTGAGCATTTCTCATAGTATCTTCTATGTATTTCAATAAAATGTCACCTTTCTTCTAAATTTTAGATATTATTTATGTTTCTATGCTTTCTTTCTTTCTTTCTTTCTTTCTTTCTTTCTTTCTTTCTTTCTTTCTTTCTTTCTTTCTATCTATCTATCTATCTATCTATCTTTCATATGGCTTCGACAAATTTCTTGTTTAGCTTCAGGTTAAGTTAAACTTCATTTCAACATAGTTTGTCTTCTTTATTTTGACACAGCCTACTTTCTGCATTGAAGCACCTATAGATACTCTCCCACAAGTCCTAGAAAACAGTAAATAGGTCATATTGTCTAATCCTCTGCCTCAAGGAAGAATTCTCTATACCTGTGTCATTCCTGACAGATATTTGTACAACTTGTTCTAAGCAGCTCTAATAATCAAATTTCCACATTCTCTTTAAGTTTTTTATTCCAATGTTTAAGTATCTTCTCAAAATTGAACTTATTATGAGAAAAAAAAAAATGAAACTATGACACCATACTTTGAAATGGAGTCCTTTACATTAATGTGAAATGACATCTTAATGTAAAAATGAGCAATTGTGTCTAGCAGTTTGTTCAAGATTGGTGCCCTCCCACTCAATAAGAAATAAAGAATTATCACTAAATTTCCACCTCTATTAGCAATTGCAAATTCATTCTTCTCATTTCAGGTTTCCTAATTCTAGGAGCAGACGCTGCATATCTGAACTACGCGTGCATCTTTCAAGGTACTTCAGAAGGTCTTTGATGGAAATCATGAATCGTGAATGAAGATCTTTGTCTCATGAATGAAGATCTTCCCATTTTACATAGTTGATGTTCCATCCATGTTCTCTAACTGAGCTATATATGAGATTTGAGATCTTACCGATAATGTTTTGTATCTGGGATGCACTCTGCTGTTGCATGCAGTGTAGCTTGTGAAAGAGGGACAATTTTACGTAGCTGGACATTGCCATCTCCCAGTTGCTTGTCCCATCTTTCTTTTTTGTATGGTCATTGACTGTGAGCTCCACAAGCAAAAAACTGTCTTCTCTCCACATATTGGTACGCCTTGGATGACAAAGTCTTGGTCCTTTCACAGTAATAAATGCTAACAAAGCATAACTAAGGTCAAAGTAATGACAGTATAGCATCAAAAGCTCTTTAATAATAATAGTAATAAACAGTGGTGGGTATTTCATGTAAATAGGCAATCTTTTAAATGAAATTGCTTTTCAGAAAGCATACTGCATTTCATTTGAGATTCACAAAACACTGTTTCCATTTAAGAAATCTCTGGTCCATAATATACAGGATTCTGAGTCAATTTCAGTGTAGACATATCAGAGTTTCATTGTTATTGTTGTTTTGTGTTTTTTTTTCAGGGGTGGGGGGAGGTTGTTTGTTTTGTTTGTTTTGTTTTTGTTCCATGATATGGGCAATAGCTGGCATGGTCCCTTCATTCATTCTGCTGCCAGCTGCTTTATTAGCCATTTTAACTGTCACTGAGCAGGACTAACGAGCCACCAGAGAGACTGGCTGAAAGGGAAGTTAAGCAGCTGAATGGAATGGGGTTGAAGGAAAAGGGGAACATAAAACAAATAGCCCCCCAAAAAGTTACTTTAAAACCTTGTTCTGCTTTTCTTTAAAACAAAAAACACCGTGGGAATTACTGGGACACTTGCTCTTTTTCGTGAAGTGCAGAGCCCTGATCTTCTGGAAGGCTGGGGACCAATGAAATCACCTGCACTCACAGCCCAAGCACAGAGTCCTAGGAATAGTTTTTACTACAAGTTTGAACCAAAGCTTGTATAGCCTTGCTACTATTGTTTAGGTACACAGTAACTGAAAGGAAGGGGAAAAAATAAGAGATCTTTCACTGCTTCCATTAATGCTGGGTCGCCCTCTTCACCCCCCTGCAAAGCACCCCTGCAGTCACAGCAGCTCCACACCGCTAAAGCCTGAGACCTTTACCTGCAGAGCACAGGCAGAAGTCCAAAAAGACTTCTGCTCCTTTACACAGTGCATCGAGCCAAGTGTCCTAACCCTCTTTATAAAGAGAGGCTTGCAAAAAGCAAGCTCAGCTCTGCGAAGAATGAGTCCTGCTGGAGTTCTCCTAGATCTCCAAAGCAGAAAGGCACCTCCCAGTCCCAGCAGAAGGGCTCAGATGCAGATTACCCTGCTGCTGTGCTCGCACAGCCGATCACGACTCAACATATGTTCTTTGCTTTTTTGGCTGGAGTTACGGTTGTCTTTCCTTTCCTCTCCTTCCCCCCCCACCCCCTCCACCCTCACTCTTGATTCTCACAGGAGCAATAAATGCCAGTAGTAAATATTCTCAGCCTTACAAGGATTTCACTAAATTAAGGTTCACATCCAAGCTTTGGGCAACTTCCTGTGTTCTAAATGGGATCCAAATGAGGGTTTTCCAAAGTCTATACAGTATAATAATAATAAAAAACATATCTAAATCATTAAAATGAGTGACAGCATTCCCTATACCAGTTCTGGGCTCCATAAATAATGTATAAAACCAATCTGCATTATATTAGCAAAAGATAAAAATCAGAAAAGGGTGAGAGCAAGAATGTTTCATTTTTCGATAACACAAAGAAAGCCTTCCCTGCGCCTGAGCTGAGAGCTCCATCTCGTGGGTGATGGTGGGCGCAGAGTCACCTTCCACTTCCACAACATAGTTTTTTTTTTACATTCACTCGTTAAAAAAATAAATAATAAAATAAAAATAAAAATAAAAGCATTACGAGAATACAAGCCCTTTACTGCAAAACAACAGCAAACCAAAAGGGGTAAAACAAATCAGCACCAGCACCCACAGCAGCATCACCAAGCAACATCACTCTGCCTCATCCTACACCTTCTCCCAAACTCTCTCATTAGAAACGGACCAGTAACTTGTCCTCATCATGTACGGTGGCTATAGCCAAAATAACTAGTGTATATTGGGGTCAGTGACCTGCTTTGTGCTGCTGCTCATGAGCCAGGCTTTGCTCACTGTTCATGCCAGTGTTGGTGGCTGGTGGCTCCCCCGATGTCCCTGCCTTGCGGGGCTGCAGCCGATGCCCATTGAAGCACAGTGAAAGACTCCCATGGAGCCCACTGGACTTTGGGCCAACACAACTGGGCCAGATCCTGCTGCTGGGCTTACTCTTTTTGTGCCATTGCGAGGTGGAGCCTTGCACTAACTCTTCAGTACCTGCTTTTTTCGAGCTCAGCTTCACCCATGTGTGTGGGTGCTGCTCATCACCTCCTGCCCCTTCACCTCCTCAGCTGGCAGAGCTCAGTTGCAGGAATCCTCCCCCCAAAATTTGTGCAACCTATATTGTATTTCTTAAAATCTGCAAAGTGCTTGCAGGATGAAAGGCTACATATCCAGTTAGCATTATTGCCTGAGTCACCCCATTATGGCTTGTTATGCACCCCTCGATGCCAGCAGTACCTGTAGGGCAGCACCATCTCTTCTAGCCACACTTTGAATATTTGTGAATACATCCCCCCTTCTTTTACCAAGAGAGAAGAGATAAAGCATTAAAAAAAACTAGCTTTCCTAACAGTTGACTTTTTTTTTTTTTTTTTTTTTTTTCTTAACACACCCCTTGGAATCTGAGATGCTTTAAATTTAACCATTATTTTCTAGACACCATTAACCAACAAAGAGTGCTTTGTTCCAGGCAGTGGTGAACAGCTCGGTACAGTTTATGAAGCAATATCCTCCTATCCGCTACAGAATGCAGCAATCTGCTGCACTGTCACAGGCTCGTGATTAATAGAAATTTGGATGTAGCCTTGGCTTTTAAAAGTTGTAGACTGGAGCACAAAGGGGGGCTGAGGAATGACACAACACTGAGAAAGGAAGGATGCTGATATTGCATTGAAAAAAGGCACGGGAGCAGACCATAACAGAAAGCTCACACAATGTGAGCGTACCCTTGGGTGGGTTTCCACAGCCATTGTGCCACCACAAGGATGAATCAGCAGGGAGCTGCTTCCCTCTGCATGATGGTGACACTGGAGCCCCATGCCTGTAGGCCCAAGTCCTTCTCTTTGTTTCTGTGAGGGTTGAGGAGGGCCCTCTCTGTGACCCCCAGGTGCTTCTAAATGCTAGCTCGAGCCAAGTATCCTGCCTCTGAGGCATCTGCAAAGGAACAAAATTCTTACACAGTCTCCTTTTTTCTTCCAGAGCAACTATGTGAGGTAGATTTTTTTTTGGACATACTGGGAATTGCGTCCAAAAGGATCTGCACCAGCTTTCCAAACTTCAAATTTCAAGTGAAACACGTGAGAAGAGAGGAAAAATCTGACAGAAGAGGTGAATCAGAACTGAGGATTGTGCCATTTTGCACTCAGATGGGACAGGATCTTGCCTTGACTGTGCTGGCAGCCAGGCATGTGCTGATTCTGCTGGTGAACATGGCAAAACCCAGACTCCTCAGCATGGTGGTGGGCTGGGGATCTGGGACCAGCAGTGCAGTTTGTGATGGAGAAGGCAAGAGCGAGAAACGAAAAGCAGACCAAAGGGAGGCAAAAACGAAGAAGCTTACAAAATTAATCTTGTATATATTAGATGGAATATAATGTTAGTGTTCTGTAACATTTACACTCGAGGCAGAAGGAAGTACAAAATACTGTTTGGTGGATTGCTGCAGTTCAATGGCCATCAGCTGTTCATAAATCAAGTACATAGACAGACTGCAAACCGCCTTGCTGGCATGACAAAGACACAGTGATTAATGTTTCCGCTATGGATTAGGGAGGCACTGAGGTAATACTATATGTAACTCCAAGATGCTACCCTTTTTTCACTTCTCAGCTGAAGGCCAGGCAAAATTTAGTCAATGTTACCTCAAATTAAACTGCTAAAAGGGTGCTGTATGTTTTATTTTTTGCATGCATGCATGCATAACCTTGCAATATATTTTTATTTTTTATTTTTTTTTGGGGGGGGGGATAAATTCGGTAACTATTAGGCAGTAACTTTCTTACATATATTTCCTTATTCTGTGCTTCTGCATAGGTTTCTGTACAGGCTGCATTTTATCATACATGTATATATATACATGTATATAATATTATATATATATATATATATATGTATGTATGTATGTATGTATATAATATCTAAGTCTCCTTCACTGAGGTGGTTTTTCAGTCTCTGCAGTGTGGCATCAGCCCAGTATCTGTAAGTCACCCAGAGTCCTCAGACTGGAGAAACAAAAATAAATAAATAAATCAAAAGAAATTCCCAAATTTCCTCGGGAAGGAAAAAGAGAGAGCCCAAAGATGCTCGGGAGGAAGAAGGGCAGTGCCCCTGCACTGCTGGGGAAATTAGGAGGGGCTTGGGACACGGCAGGCATTGCACACACGGCTGCCTTGCATTGCTCATCCCCTCCAGACTACAAGGCTGCCTCCTCTCATATTCCTCTCCTATACAAATTTTTGTCAGTAAACTCAGATTAGTTCAGCTCTTAAGACACGGGTGTAGCTGGACTGTTTTCCATGACAGATATGTTCTGACAAACTTCAAGGAGCAGCAGTTTGTAAGCGCCCTCCTCTCCAAGGCGTGGGCCTTTCAGTGCTCCCTATCCAATGCTATTTTCTGCGCCTCTCTGCAAAGACCCAGGGGATTCATTAACAGGATTTACTAATCTCTTTAATTGACTAAGTCTGGGAAAAAAGTCGCAGATGCTTCCAAGCTAATATTTGATTCTGGATTCCCACATTAGAAATAAGACTTATGTTTTTGGTGTTCTTTCTCACAGCTAATCTCCAGCACTGGCTACTCTGGTCCTACCCACAACATCCAACACTTGTACTTGTGTGATTCAAGGGACTTTATTTGGATGTGCTATCTGATGGACAGCAGTGTTTGAACAGAAACTGAAAGACATTTGTTGGAATCATTGTCAGAAAAAAATAAATATTACTCTAAATAAATAAATAAATAAAATACTGCTCTATGGTTTCATTTGCCGATCAAAGAAATAAGTGAAATGAAATGAGTCAAAATGCAAAATACAATCTTACATTAATAGAAAAAAGCCATTTACTGCTATTTTAGCAAAATGCTCATGAACAGAAATCATGCAACACATTTCCACACTTCCTTGTTATTATAGGGCAATTGTTCCATGTTTATCAAAAGACTTACAGGAACATAATGTTCCTTTCTGATAAAAGCGTAATGATAGTGGATGAACTGTTCACCTGATTTTATTTGGCTTCACAAAATAGGCAGCTGTTGTATTTTGATTAACCAAAGATGCCCATCAGCTTTCCAATCCTTTGTAATATGTATATCTCACTATTTGTCTGCTTAATTCTGCCAGTAGATATTTTATGCAGGGTACAGACTGGTGCAAAGAACATGTAACCAAATACTTTGAACTTTATTCACACCTTTCTTTTCCTCACACTTTGTTAAGGATACATGGACACTTGTCTTCCACATATTTTACTAGACTACAGCCATCCAAATTTTATGAAGCAGACATGGTTCCATGATAAAGGCTCATCAAAGTCATTCATATTCTGTATTTATTTGCATTGATCGGTCATCCATTAGCTTTTTACATATATGAGATTCTTCTTCATGTTCCACTGTTATCTCTTTTTCTCTCATACAACTGACTAGTATTTTTCTTTAACATTTCAAGGGAAGAGCAAGATTGCTCATAACATTACAGAGGTTCAAAATTAAAAATAACATTAATGATTCTGATTTTTTTTTCCTCTAGTAAAATATTAAAAGCAATATTTTATTCACATTGATCTTCCTTTGCATACATTTTCTGGTTCAGTAGGTTTCACCTATTTTCCTTTTAAATCTAAATAAAGCTTTTCAGTACAAATATTTCTTTCAGATCTTCACCATGATAAACATGCAATGCAATTTGACTGAATCACTATCTATGTAAACAGTTCTTTATTCTATACAAATTGCAGAAAGTGTTGTGACAAGTATTTTCATTCTTCATATACAGTTCTAGCTCTTTCAGACACTCAGAAAAAGCATTTACACTAAATGCATTGCGGTTAAGTCATAGTACAGGTTCTTTGCTAGTCACGATTCTCATTTCAGATGTTTCTCCCACTTGAGAATAACTCTCTATCTTCTGACATAGGATTAGTTTATCAGGTCCTGCTGTTAAACGCGGGCTCATCAATGCAAAGCGCAGAGGTCTGGCTTTACGGCACTCAGCTTTATATGGATGCTCGTCTTTCCAAGGGTACGGCATCATCAGCCTAAACATAACAGTAACTTACCGAAATATGCATAGCAAGCACCAAGTAGGGGCAGGAAGGATGTTGAGTGTATTTTTGTCATTTTTCTTACCAACTAGTTTACTAGTGGTTTATTGCAAGGAGAACAGACAGTGGATAAAGAGTGGTCCCTAAAAAAAATGTTGGCAATGAAGCAGCAAGTGGAAAAAAATGAAAGATAACTTTTACTCAGCTG